AATTATATGTATTGAGAAGAACTTTGTCTAATCAGCCCTCGATTGAATTTTGATGAATACCTGCTTATTAATTATCATTTTGATCAGCTTTTCTAATCCGATTTGATTGGGATATCCAAATACAGCTTAATCGGATTGGACTTAATTTAAATCAGATCAGATCCAGCTTTCTCTGCATGCATAGATAAGCAAAGCCTCCTATCTCTATTCCGGTCTTCCATCACTTTTTCCGATAAACTGAGAGCGAGAAATGGTTGGAGTGGTGTTTGTTAGGCAAAGCCTCCTATCTCACTTCCAGTCTTACCTAATACAAAACTTATATTTTCTATCTCATTTGCATTCATTGGCAGTGAAAATTGTTTTATCTCAAAAATCGATGCAAAATTTGTACCACCTTCCTCCTATATAAATTATCATTATAAAGTAGGAACTACATCATCTTGTTTTTTACTCACAAACAAATAATTCTTCTATTTCCATTCTATGATTCATATAAGCAGCTAGATAACATTCTAAAACGGGAAGAATTATTTTGGGCGCAAAAATCAAGGATCCAGTGGATCAAGCTGGGGGATCAAAACAACAAAATTTTTCGATGACTAGAGAAAGAAATAAAAATAAAATACTGGGAATTAAGAATGATAATGGTAATTGGATCTCAAATATAGGAGAAGTTTCTAAATTATTTTATTCAAAATTTGAGGAGAGGTTTAAATCGGATGAGCCAGAAGGGATTGATGAATTTTTAGAAATTCTCAAAGTATGCGTCAGCCCTGATCGAAATTAGGGGACGATTAAAGAGATTTCAAATGAGGAAAGTTATCAAACCCTTCAGACCATGAAGGACTTGAAATCTCCAAGGCCAGATGGGCTTAATTTTTTACTTTTTAACAAGTTCTGGACGACTGTTGGGGAGTCTTTTTGCAATGTTGTGAGGGCATTCTTTCATTCTGGGAAGATGAATAACATCTTGAATGAAACATTCGTCACCCTTGTTCCAAAATCTAATAGTCCAAACACAATGAATGGTTTTATGCCTAATAGTCTTTTTATGTAATTTATAAAATCGTTTCCAAAATTTTAGCTAATAGGTTAAAACCTCTTTTGGATGTCATTATATCCCTATATCAGAGCGTCTATGTTCTTAATCGACAAATTAATGATAACTTCTTATTGTCCATGAGATGATTCATACGATGAGGAAGAAAAAAGATAAATCCAACATTATGACTTGTAAAATTGATATGGAGAAAGCCTATAACAAATTGGAATGAGATATTGTAGAGAAATGGGTTGGTTGGGTTATGCCTTGCATAAAGATAGTTTCACACAGGATTCTAATAAATGACTCTCCTTCAAGGAGGATTATCCCCACTAGAGGAATTGGAGAGGTCTTGCAGTCAAGAACTTGACATGGGTCAACGATGCAAATGAGGGTGGAATATTTTGAACCAACCCCAGAACCATTTGGAATGTCAAGGAGAGAAAAGGCATCTCTTGGGCTTAATGTGGTATCCTTCAACCTAGATACCTTCTTAGAAGGGATATTGGCTGGTCTGCGAGAGATGGGTCAGCCATTAGCTTTTGGAATGATAAATGGATTGATGACACCATCTTGAGTGAGGTGGTGCAAAGGTCTGAGCCCACAAATGATGAAATGAGAGTATGTGAAGTTATTGATTATGAAAGAAAAGTTTGGAATGAGGGTAAAATTAAGGATTTTATTCCTCTTTCCTAACCAATTATTATTCCTTCAGACAAATTTGGAGATATAATGGTTTGGAGATTGAACCGTAAGGGTATGTTCACGGTGAAGTCAGCCTACAATGAGGCTTTTCTAGCTAATGGAGGCATTAGAGGGAATGATAGTTCAGTTAATAGGATTTGGGGTCTTCAGACTCCCCCAAAAATAAAAACCTTTTTTGCTTTTTCTCCTTAATAATAAGCTCCCCACCAAAAAGAAAAAAAAAAAATATTGAGGTGCAGGGATTTCAAATTGACATGAAACCGGATCTGCTCCTCACATATGGCTTTTCACACTCACATCCTACCATGCATTGGGAATATCTCCCGTACTTATAAGTTATTATTCATGGGAAATATTTCCTAATGCATGGTGGATGTGCATGTCAGGCGCCCAAGTGTGAGGAACAGATCCCGTTCCAATTGACAACATAGCCTTTGTGAGGAGGAGGAGGATGTGGACCATGTCTTTAGAATTAGAACCTACCCGATTGCAAGGCAAGTGTGGTTGACCATTGAAGAATTTGTTCTAGATTTGACGGAGGAGAATATTAATATTAAAACGTAGTGGGGAAATTTAGAGAAGGGTGCCTTAATCCTTTGGTTTTTATGAAAAAATAGAAATGATAAAATTTTTAATAATAAAAGAGCCCCACTTGGTAATATCATTGAGAATGCTTTCAAATGGACAAAATGACCATAATATTGAAGGAGAGATTAAAAGAAGAAATTTGAAATTTATTTCATGGAAATGCCCTAGGGAGGAGGCTGTCAAAACTAATTTTGACATGTCTCGTAGGGAAAACGGAGCGTGTCCAAATTATTTATTCTATGTTCACCCATTCCAAGTCCCATGAAATCATTTATTTAGGTAAATACACTTAAATAAATATTTTTTAGGTAAATACATTTAATAATATTCTTTTATTTCCTAAATAAAATTAAATACCGACCGTTTTATGAATAAAACAGTCATTATAAGAAAGGACAACGTTATTCCATCATGTAAAAATTTTCCTGTGGACAATGTTATTTATCAAAGTAGATGGAGGGTATACTTACCGAGTAACTGATATATTGACCAACTTACCCGCACCTTTTTATCAGAAAAAAACAAACAAGGGCCAAGGAAGACGCCAACGACATAAAACTCAGATTCGAAGCTCAAACTTTTTCTTAAATCAAGTAAAAAATATAATAGAACGACCAAAAACTTTGTGGATTTCCTCTTCAACTTAATTCAACCATTGCTGACTTCACCAGAAGGAATCTGTTTGACAACGGTCAAATGCCAAATTGCATCCAGAAACAACAACGTGGTGGGTTGCCAAACAATCATACACAATTCTTTTTTGGGGTAAATTACAAAGAGCCCTTGTATTATGGGGTCAGTGATAAATACTTTTTATAAACTTTCATTTGCGATAAAGATCCCCTGAACTTTCACTTTGCGATAAATACCGCTTCCGTTAAAATTCCATCAATTAGCTTCAAAAAAAGATTCTCATCCAATGGTTTAAAATATTTTAAATCCCCAAATTATCATTCTCTTATTTATTCAAATGATTTATGATTCGATTAATTTTCTAAAAATAACATTGAAGTCCTCTTGATTGCTCTAATGGATCCTTGCAAAATTTTGACAGCATTCAATATTCAAATGAAATGGTAGATTTTTTTTTTTTTGATAGATATAAATTTATGGTTTCATTTGGTTTTTCTTGATTTATTGGAGGAAGGAGTGGATAATTTTTATATTTTAAGATGAAGAGAGACATTCATGTGAGTGTAGTGAATCAAAAATAATAAAAAAAAAGAAAAAAAACTTAATTTTCTAAATGATTATTGTTACTTTAGTTGGTTTTGTTTGGGGAAAATGGAGGTATTTTTGGTTAATTAGTATTTAAGAGAAAAGGACAAAAATAAGAAAAGTCATCACCTGAATTAATGGTCAGGGGATATTTGTTGCGAAGTGATAGGTCAGGGTATCTTTATTGCAAAGAAAGTTAAAGGAGGGTGTTTGTATCTAAGCCCATACTACAAGGGAGTCTTTGTAATTTACCATTTTTTTCATTTACGTTATCAGTCTTCCTAATCTGATTTCTGTTTTGATTGTATCATAGAGTTTGGGGTTCCCTGCAATCAACGAGACACCGACGATTCCCACTTGCGGCTATCTTGCAAGATTTTGATTAAAAACCAGATGAACCATGGAACCATTTTGGAAACCAATTCCAGGGTCAAATGATTCAACCGTCCGATTCAAACAAAGAACCCATTCTGACTTAAAAAATAAATAAAATAAAAAACAACTAAAATCCATTGTCTAGGTCAATGGGTTGACAGTTTGACCACTCAGGTCAGCGGATCACTGACCAAATCAACAGTTTTTGATTAAAAAGCGGTTTTAGGATAAGACCAAATTTGGTTACCTAACCAGTTCCTGAGTCAATCGGTCCAACCATCCAGTCTGATCCAGTTTTCAAAACCATTATTTCTTACAAGGGTGAACCATGAAAAAGCAAACAACAATAACATTTTGTTAATTGTGATAGAACTTTCTTGATCTTGTTTTTGTTTCTTTTTTAGGTACATGGTTCTTACTTCTGAACAAGGTTCAAAACATCAATACACTGGTAGGAGTGCATCGGGTGTTTCAATACTTGTTTTTTTACTTTTCTTTTATTTTTTTTCAAAACTGGTTCAAAGGAGTCGATCTAAAACCCCTCCATCCCCTGAACCGGTCAGACCCCCAATACAGCCACTGTAGGGGCATATCGAAAGGGTTCCGAAACGATACATATCGGCCAATACGAGCCAATACTTAACAATACTTTGAACCTCTCTTCTGAGTTTTCCGACTATAGAGTTTAGACAAGTGAAATTCCCCAACGAAGCCAGTGACCGTGAAGGGAATTCGTGAATCAACAAAACAAATATTTATTGTTATTGCCCCCACTGATTACAATACAGCAAAACCCGGTAGCCGGTAATAAGTTAATCACTAATCCCAAAATAGAAGACACTAGACCATCGACTCGGGGAATTTTTGTTTCGATTGGACTCGACATCTGTGTTGGCTGCCTGGCTCTGACATAATCTAACAACTAGGAGATGCAGCCATACAACTTGCCCATCAAAAAGAACAATTAGGTGTGGACTAAATGTTTTTAAAATACGTCATACGAACCAATAGTAGATTCTATTATTCTATATCAACGTACCATTGATGTTTATAACAGTCTTTGAATTAAATGTTTTAAAATGAAGTCACCAACCACAAAGATCAAACACGGCTTAGCTGTGGAAAATACGGGTTTTACATTTAAGTTCAAAAAGGACAAAAACAACAATTAGGGAAGAAAAAAAAAACAAGAAAAAGAAAATTGGGTAGCAGTGGTTTCGTCTTCCGTCTGAACTCTGAACTTCGTCGCAATTTTCATAAAAGAAGAAAATCTCCTAAAGCAGCCACACCAACCCTCTAAATTCCGTCCACAATGGCGGATGGTAAAAAGACCTGGAGGGTGCAAACAGGACCGACCAAAGTCCAAAACATCAAACTATTATGATAACATAAATAATAACCACACAATAAGGAACCAAAACAATAGAAATCTGAAATCATCCTTATGGTTAAGGAAACATGACCCCAGACATGAGAAGATAGCAGGGAACGTCCTCCCAGTTTTACATGTAGCAGCTGTCTCTATGGCTGTATTCCCCTCACTGCAAGGCAAAAATAGTCACAGTAGATGTCAAACAAAATTTTTAATAGCACCATCAAATTAATAATTGTGGAGTAATATGAATGTAACTAACCTCTGCGTCTTCACCTCCACCAGCTTTAGCAGAGCTGTCCATCTTCTGTGCATCCTCTGCTGCAACAAATAACGAGTTAAAGCAAACTAAAACTCTGTAGTGGTTACTGGGTAGAAAAAAAAAAAACCACAGCTGTAGAAAAATAGTCAATTGTAGCCATTAGAGACAAACTACAACGCGAACACCAGAAGTTGCATCGGGTAAAGGTACAACTGATTTTAAAGGATAGTAAATACAAGAGCATACATTATGTATTGCGATCCAAGGAAGGGACGGAAATTTACAAACAAAAACTTTTGGATAGATGGATAGATAGATGTGTGTGTGTGAATGATAAGTTGAGGTTCAATCAACTACCATGTACTTGATTAAATATACGGATGCAAGTCAAGTACTTGGACACCTCATTGGGACTGGGCCCCTTGAAATTTGTTTCAACAAATGCTCAACCCAAGCCTGCCCAGGTTACACCTCTACTTTCATCAGGTTAAAATATAACCCTACCAGGCTCTAAAAGATGAAACGGTGAGTGAATATTAGGCTCTAATATCAAATCACATTTATTTATTAATTAATTATTTTATTTTTTGTTGATAGGAAAAGGTAACTTTCATTCAATTAAAATAAGAGATTACAACTATCACCACCCAATGATAGGATGGTGGTCTCTCAAATTATGTCAGACTTACAAACCGGCCCAAAACAAAGCCTCCCTATTAATTAATTACTTGCTCTGCTGAAGTGTCAGCCATTCCATTTACAGATCTTCTAATCCACCTAAATTGCACCCTAACCTCCCTTGTCAAGTTCAAGATTTCCCTTATAGAGTTATAGGTTGTCTAAAGGTCCAGGTTCTCTAGCTATTCATTTGCATCCAGCCTACTACCAACTTGGAGTACCCCTCCACTTATATCTATTGAAGTCCCAACTGTTTAACCAATCTCAAATCTTGGAGTAAGGCCATCCCTTCTGCTTTTAGTCACATACCCCAATTGGACCAGACTCAAGGGCCAAAACTCTTCCTCATCTCTAAAAGCACCCCAACTCCAGAAGGACCTGACTTACCTACAGAGCTTCCATCAAGGTTCAGTTTCACCCCACAGATATAATCAAATGCAAGAAGCACCTGTAAAAAGTCAAAGCATAATACTTAAAAATCATTTAGCACATCTGTAGATGCACACACATACCCCAGTGTTGCTCAGAAAGGACCTTAGAAATCCAGAAATACGTGTCCAAAGCAGTATTTATTACTAAAAACACATTTCATGTTGTATGAATTCCATCATCATGCACCTAGAGAACAATGATGGAATTCATTTGTATACAAAATGTTCATTTATATCAAATAAAGGGTTTCAAGGTCCTATGTTCATTTAACATGAAGAGCACATCAATATAGGAGAATCCATGACACACAAAAATGTACCAAAAGAAAGGTATATATATATATATATATATATATATTGAGAAAGATAATGTATTAAATAAAAGGAGAGAAAAAAGCATACAAGTCATATACTAGAGGAGGTGCCAAGGGCTAGCTCAGTAGCTCCGCAACATAAAAACAAAACAGCCAGTAGCAAAACCCAAACAAAACAAAGCCAAGGCCCACCAAAGCAGACCACAATGCTGGGCAACTTTGACCCCAAAATCGAACAAAACCACCACAAAAGATAAACCGGGAGTGAGGACCTTCCTCTGCCTCTTCTGCCCCTCCCCTCGTGCTACAAGCACCCCTAGAAACGGATGTAGCTACTATTACATCGTAAAAATCTGCAATATTTCTGGACCTCCACCCTGGGAGATAATCCAAACTATCAACAGAAACATCAGAGCTAGCACTAAGAGAATCAGACCCAGCTTTGGAGCTAGACCCACCATTCGGGCACTGCACTTGGGATCTCTGAAAATCACTTTCCCTATCCCTTAGCTACTCGCTAACTTGATCTTTTTGACCAGCATCGAAGGAAACTCCCAGGAAATTGCCAAGAGTTAACAATTGTTCAACCCGTTGTTCCACATTGCTGCAAATTGAACTAGAAAATGCTGCTATTCGTTGAGAGTTTTCACAACCCGAACTCTCAACCTGAACCTTTGAGGCAATGAGGCAGGGAGAATTTAGATGAGAAACATCTTCTGAGTTCTGTTCGAAGTGAGCAGCTAACTCAATCAAGGAGCTATTAGTGTTAGGTTCAAGGGGACTTTCTTGAGGCTGGCCAACAAGAGGCACACGGTCACTTGGCCCAAAGGAACCAATCCAAAGAGGATTGCAACAGTTTTGGGCTTAGAGAACCATGAAACAGTGAAGGGCCCACCTCTGGTCCAATCACTGAAAGTGGAGGAATGATAATGGCCTTATTCGGCCCCCAATGGAGGCAAGTCACACCTCCGAAATGATTTTCTAATCTCACCTGCGAAGAATTCAAACAAGGCGCACATTCAAAATTTGAAATGTACACTTGTGAATTGGATGACCAACTGGACGAATCAGACAACAGAACCAACTGGAGATTGGGGACCATTGAAGCTGTTTGAAGTGATCTATCTTCCATTTCGTCGACCAAAGGCACACCTACAGTGATTGATTCGGAAGTATTACTTTGTCTCTTCTTCCTAGACCGTCGTCTGCATTTTCTCCTTCCCAAGCAAGCGGAATGGACTAACTGAGTTGGACGCTGAACAGAGGAGAACACTTCGTTTTGGGAAGCACCCTGTCCCAACGGCATCACAAAGGCAGGCTCCTTTTCCATCTGCTTCACTGTAGAGCTGCTATTAGAAAACAAGGAATGCTGCAACCCAATAGAGGTCCATGACCACTAGCTCGATGAACTTGGGGATATCACAGACTCCTCTAATCCAAATGAGCAGACGTAGGGAATCAAGCTTGCTCCAGGAGAGGTTCTCCTGATCAGTAGCGATGAAACCCCCTGCTGCATCACCTATTTCCTTAAAGACTGTTGGGCACCATGCATGAAGAGGAACACCAAAAACCCATACCCACCAATGGCCATAACCAACCTTCTGTTTCTTGGAGTAGCCCACAGGGGACCAACAAGACAACACTACCTTCTGTCCATTCAATCAAGAGACCCCCGAATGAAGTGCTCCAGTCGCTTCTAACTCAGAAGAAAAGATGAGGAGCAATCTATTTCCCTCCAACCTTCTAAATTTTGGCTTTGACAGGTTAAGCCAAGAGAGAGAAACCCAACATTTGATCTCTCCATCATCTGGACAATGATCTGAGAACCAACAAAGCAGACAACATCTAAGAAAAAAATTGCATTCCTACAATCCCTCTTCTGAGACGAACACCACGTTCTGGGAACCAATAGCCTGGACTCTTGTGCAGACTTCTTCGGAAACACCCATACCACAATCATACACTTTCCACCGAATGGTTCATCATATAGAACGTATCAAAGGCATAAGTGACAATTAAAATCTTCACGATGATAACACAAAGGTTCTCCAAAGTGCTAATCTTAGTGGACAAATAAAAGAAAACAAGATCCTCAAATTAAACAGCTTAAGGTGCAATAGTATACTTCTATTTTAGTACACAACATACAAATATTAATCTCATTTTCAAGTTCATTTTATTCATACAATGCTAGAGTTTAGCACTTGTACACAAGAAACCTAAGATGATATAATCAAGTTCATTTTCTAGTAGGGTTTTAAAACAAGTCCCACTTGAAAACTTAAAAGAAATAGAGAGATGACAAAGTAGATGACCAAGTCTTAATTCAATTGATTCAAATAGTATGAATCACACAAATCATGAGATTCATGAATCAAATCATAGGATTCAAAAAAATGTAAGATTTTTGTATAAAATGATTCAGAGAAATATTTTAATATAAACCCTTAGGATTCATGATTTGACTCGTGAATTGTATCATAAATTGTAAGACTCTAGATAGCTGGGACCAACATTGGATAATGGCCTTTTTATTATGCTTAGCAGACCTTTTTTTATTAGCATAACATAGTATTATTCATTGTCCAGTCATTTCTACTGTTTGGCAAGCTAACTTTATAAACAGGGGTAAATATATGGGCATTGAGCAACAAATCCAGACAAAAAGAAAATTCCATAGCACTATAAATTTTCTAATCTTTTTGCTATTTGACCAAGGGGAGCTAAATGATCTAGGTCCAGATCCAATTTGACTAATCACATGAGTGATTTCTCAATACAATATCCCATATAAACACTTGGCAAGGTTAGCATGCCTATAGAGGGATCAGAGACTATCTGCTGTAAAGCCAAAGATAGCAACTACAATCATACAAAGAAAAAAGGTATGTACTCCAAAACATAAATCAAGAACAAAACAACCCCAACCTAAAAATAACTACTGGAAAGAGGGTCAACAAGATTTTAAAAAGGTAATTAAAATAGAAAGAAGAATTGTCCAGGTAATTATATTAGACTAACAAATTTCAAGGATGGAATATGAATAGAACAACATAAAGAATCGAGTTGTTCAGCCTTGGATAACACACACACACAAATTACCTCCATCTTCTGGAATGTCAGAAGTCCATAAAGTGAGATTGTCTCTCAGGAGTTGCATAATCAAAGTGCTATCCTTGTAAGACTCCTCGCTCAGGGTGTCCAGCTCAGATATAGCTTCATCAAAAGCTTGCTTGGCAAGATGGCAAGCCCTGAGAGATCAGGTTTCACTGAGATATGGGTTCAATGAAAAGATCAAATTCTATAGGATTAAGAAACTTTTGAGCTTACTTTTCAGGTGAGTTCATAATCTCATAATAAAAGACTGAGAAATTCAATGCCAAACCCAACCGAATAGGATGTGTAGGAGACAAACCAGATTCTGCTGCACTGGAGGCCGCCTGCAGATAGATGACACAACAAAAAGCAGTCATTAAATGCTATGCAGCAACATCCATTCCATTTATTGTTTAACAACCAAGTTTGCTTGGCAAGGATAATCATGTTAAACAGTTCTTTGACTTGAAAAGGTATTAATAGCAACAAACTTACCTAGATAATATAAAGTTTAAATCCTAATAATGCAAAACAATGGGATCTTCATAGCAGGGTAGAAACAGGAATTGGACCTCAACCACCATAGACCAATAGAATCAAACAGCACAAAGGAATGTGTGTGTTTGCTTTACTACTGACGCTATCATTCACCAGGAGCACATACTTCCAACCTCATAGTCAATTATAATGTACTAAGTCGTCATTTTGTTTAACTGTTTTTCTATCTTTGTTAACAAACTAGCAAGGTTCACAACACTTATTGGTGGGGTAGCAAGTATAGTATAGATTAGAGCCAACTGTGACCTGAAAACTTAACCTCAATTAGCAAGGGTTAATTGGGTTAATCAAGACAACATGCCCTGCCCTTGCGACAGGTGGGGGGAGGGGAGAGGTCTTTGAGCATTCCTGGCCACTTAACATTCCTACTTTCCTAGAACCTGACTTTGGGGGTATGAATTCTGATAGAATTTCCAAGAAAAATGAAATGACCAAGGCGCATAGAAAGATAATTGTTTTAAATGGACAACAGCATATACAAAGAGATCTCAAAAAACTAAGTAACAAGAATGACAATTGTTTTAAATGGCCAAAGAAGAGTGCAGCTCCTAATAGAAATAGCATAAACATGCACATTAAAGACTATATAAATAAACGTTATTCATAAGTGTCTCCAGAGAAATCTCAATAAACGCCATTCTTCTATGCTTAGAAATGCATGAATATAAGTATTACACGAGTTTCTATCAAAGATAAAGTTCTCAATTTAAAAAAAAATATATATATACTTAGAAGAATTTAGTCATTTGAGTGTATTCAAGCTAAGCAATTACCAAGAGGCAGTGTTCAAAGTGTAGTCTTGATCAAGCACTGTACCATCTTACAATAAGATTAGAACATAGAATTATGGACATATTTAAAATTAGCAGTTAGACCTAAAGTTGATTCACCGCGTAAAACAAGCACATATTAGGCAAAAGAAGAGGTCCCTTTGATCGCATTAGAAATGTCACTGGAATGCCCAAAAATCTTTCCACAAAGAACAGAAAACCAAAAGCCACACACCTGATAAGCTTTCAGTGACTGATCAGCAGCCTCTTTCCTCTCATTACCAGTCTTGAACTCCGCAAGATAACGATAGTAATCCCCCTTCCTGCAACCAACCACAACTCAATGCCCTAAAACACCTCGAAACCCCACCAAATCAAAATAGAAACTGCAAACAGATCATCAAAACTCAAAAGCAATAAGATCCCTCACATCTTGTAGTAGAAAACGCTAGATTCTCCAGCAGTCGAGGAAGGAATGAGATGTTCATCGATCACAGTCATAATATCGTTGCAGATATTGGAGAGCTCGGATTCAACCTTCTGCCGGTACTCCTTAATCCGCTTCGCATTCTGCTCGTTCCCTTTGGCTTCCTCCTTCTGCTCAATAGAGGAAAGGATTCTCCACGAAGCCCTCCGAGCCCCAATCACGTTCTTGTAGCCGACTGAGAGCAGATTTCGCTCCTCCACAGTCAATTCAACGTCGAGCTTCGCGACTTTCTTCATCGAATCGACCATTTCTGCCCAAAACGAAAAACGTGACGTAAAAAACCCATCTTTCATCGATAACTCAGAAGTCAGAAACGACATAAATTCAAACACGAGATCCAGAGAGGGAGAAAGAGAACCCTAACCTTCATAGCGCTCGGCCTGTTCGGCGAGCTTGGCGATGTAAACGAAGCTCTCGCGCTCTTTAGGGGAAGCCATGGCCGATCTGCAAAATTAGGGTTTCTCGCCTTTTTGGGTTCGTTTCTCTGTTGGTTTGAAGATTCCTCTCTGTCAGACAGCAAATAGAGAGAGAGAGAGGGGGGGGGAGATAAAAGGTGAAAAGAGAGAGAAGTTATGAAGAGGACACACGGGCGGCAGCAGAAATATTTCTGGGAGCCAGAAACGCAAGCGGATGTTGGTCCCACCGCTCTGTTCGCCACGGCGGATTCCCGGTACTGATAACCAATGAAACTGAGCCACGTATAGGATGTACAGTTTGGAGTATTGTTTGGCATCGCTGAAATTGGAAAGAGGGGAATGTTAGTGCGGGAGCGATCACTTTGGATAGACTCTCTCTCTATACTTTCAAAATTTTGAGCCAATGGATGACGAACACGATAGGAGTCGCAGGTGAAATTCGCGTGAGCGCTCCCGCTGGATCAGAAGATTTTTTTTTTTATTTTTTTTTATCGGAAAGTTTGAAAGCAACAGGTGTTACCAGGAGTAAAAATATTTCCTAATAAGTTGTTTTCACGTGAAACTGACAGTTTTTTAACCATACTTTGCGCTGCCCGGAAATACGAAAAACCGGGGACGGCGAATGTTGGGTCCATCCTGGGCTTGGACGGTTGGACCCATGAGGCCACGAAGACTGGTAGTTGATTGTATACCCTGAGTGAGAACCGGTGACCCACCATTTGATAGATTAGGCCCAGAATGAAGCCCACACCAGAATTTTTGCATTTTTTTAAAAAGGCATAAGCCAATTTTCATTACTCAGAGGAAAATTACAAGCTCATCAACTGGTGAGTGGTGGCGACGATTTTAATATCTGATTTTTGTATTATTTTTTGTGCTATTAAAAATTTCTGAAACTTCAAGCATCACCCCAAATCACAAAATTAGGACTAGCTGATGAATTGACCTTCAAATGGCTTTCTTTCATACAATTCTTCCAACTAGACATCACTTGAATGCATCCCCATTTTTTGTTTTTAGCTATTCGTTTTTTTTATTTTTTTGGGGTATTATTATGTCTGAATCGAGGGGAATGGCTCAACTATTTGATTGAGCCAACTTAAAATGTATACTCCAGTCCAACTATATCAAATTACTGTTTATTAAGATGTTTGGTATGTATGCAATTCCTAACCATTACATTATATGAAATTGCCACATCATCATCTTTTTGTAAACTATCATCATCATCATCATCACTTAAGCGTTGTACCAACTAGATATAAGGAATTGGCTAAATGAATTCTGTTTTGTCATTCTTTTTTATTTAATACCCATATCCAGTATTAAATTATGGGTGTTTACACCATTTCTTATTATTTTCACCCAAGCCTATTTTGGCCTGCTGCCACCAGCTCCCTAACCCTTCAACTTGTAAAAGAATATTAATTTTTCTAACAGGTGGGGCTGTCTGTAGATAGTCCTAATTATGCAAAAGTTGGAACACAACATGGTGTCTAAAATTTTCAGGCAAGAGGCGATGAATCAATTTCTTGATGTTTCTTCAATTGGGAGGAGTCACTACAATGCTCTCTTTCCTCTTTGATTTTAAGTTGTCACAACAACTTTATTGGAGCAAGATTTTTAATATTTAAAGTAAGAAAACCTACTACCGTGTCACATGTCCACATCACCTGCCAATAAAACACATTCCAACCCTCTATCAATATGATCTCACACCGCACATCTTATATGTAGTGGGTTCCACTTTTATGATGAATCTCAGTCTCATGGTAAGATGTACGGTGTTAAATCAAGTTAGTAGAGGGCTGGAACATGTTTTGTTGGCAGAAAAGCTCAATTCGTCACATATACCCCCCCCCCCCCCCTTATGCATTGAATTTATTGCAAAATGGCATTTTATTATGTGATCGATGTCCTTTAAATTTAAATAAGGCATCATAAGCATAGCCTCTACTAAATCTGTTTCTATGATGGGATGGTGCATTGTATTGATGGTTATGGTGGGATGCAACAACCTAAATCACAGCCATACCAAGCACTACCTAGAGCTTTTGAATCCTCTGCTGCATAAAGCCAGATAGAAAGCTAGTCCATAGGGGTGCAAGTTGAATATCTGATTCGAAGAATCTACGCACAATTGCACTGGGGCTCTCTGGCCGGGCCCATTCAAATTTTGACAAAACCCAAGCCAACTCAAAGTTGAATGAACCGGCACTTAATTTCCAATAAAATAAAAGAGTGGGTCATGGCTTTTGGCCCACTTCTCATTAGCCAACACCCTGGTAAACCAACCACTGAAATCTACGAATTCAGGAAAAGAAAAAGGAATGCAGAAAGCTTAGGGGGTCAACTAGGATGGTGAGTGGGGGCCAGGGCCAATTATTCAACCAACCATGATGGTGTTGGTTTGACCATCTGATCAGTTTGGTGCCATGATGAATAATGTGAACGATATGATGGGATTTGATGAATTTGAGTGGTAGGAGCATGGACAAAGAATCAGAGGTTAACACATCCCAGTCAAGTGTACAGTGAATGTACCAATCTTCTATTACAAATAATAGAAAGCATCATGGATTGTTGGCGTTTGACGCTGAACAATGAATGCTTTCAGGCAGTACTGTTGTCAGTTCGACCGGATGGGATGGTTGAACCAGTTATGATGAGCCTTCTGGGTTTGATTACTCCTCGTATGGACTGAGCAATTTGACAGATAAAACTAAACTGTGTGATTCAATCAGCTTTCTAATTTTGTGTCCAATTTGGAAACTAAACTTAGTATTGTAGGCTTATCATTTGGGCAATTTAATGTTTACAGTACATTACCTACTTCTCTATTTGAAGGGGAATAAGCTTTCACGGCATCCTGGTGGAAAGGAAAGGTCTTTTATTTGGTGCTACAGATCCATACAACTGTTTGGCCTAGCCAATTATGGATGCAATTTGAGTTGGGTTGGTAAGTTATTGAATAATCAATGGGCTTGAGCCCATTGAAATTGAAACTCTTGCAGCCTGATTCACATTTACTAGACATTTGTGTACATGTCTCATGCTCAGCTGAATCTGCCCTTAAGCGAGCTCCATAGAAGAGATTAACTAGACAAAATGGAGAAAGAAAGAAGAAATGCTCAAAATAATGGAGATATCAGATGCTATAATCATTTGATCAAGTTGATTTTGGGAATGCAGAATTTCTTATCCAACATGGTCCAGGTCCATTGAAGGTGAGAGACATGGTGGGGAATATGAAGGTTTATTAGATCATAAGAGCTAACTACTTACAAGATTTTTAACTATAACAAATCCTTTCTCCTTTAATTCAAGTATCATAGTCAGAATTTTAATTATATACTCTGATCACCAAGCAAGTAAAATAATCATGTTAGTTTAACATTCAAGTAGATTTGGTTTGGATCAAGAGATTAATTATTACATTAATATTATTGTTTTTTTTTTCTATGTTTAAGGTATATTGCTTTTCTTACCTTATGTTGACTATCTCAACCCAATATGGCACAAACTAAACCTCTAATTTATAAGTTGCACTATTGCCCTTGATTAGTCATCTTATTTACCACTACAAAATTATCTGTTTTGTATCAATGTTTTTAAAACGGGACCGGACTGGATGGTCAGACTGGAAAACTGGGAGTTAGTCACCCGTTTTACCCCAAAACTGTTGTTTGGCCAAAAACTGTTGATTTGATCAGCGAACCACTGACCCAGGCGGTCAAACCGTTCGACCTAGGAACGGTTTTTGGTCGTTTCTTTGGGTTTTTAAATTTTTTATATTTTTTTTTTGTCAGAGCAGACCGTTCGTTCAAACTAAATGGTTGAACTGGAAAAACTGGGAACCAGTTCCATTTTACCCTAAAATCGTTGTTTGTCCAATAACCATTGATTTCATCAGCAAACTGCTAACCCGGGCGGTTGAACCATCGAACCATTCGACCCAGGAACAATTTTTGGCCATTTTTTAGGTTTTTTAATTTCTTTTATTTTTTGTCAGAGCAAGTCGTTTGTTCATACTAGATGGTCAGATCGTTCAACACGGGAATTGGACCCGATAATGATTCCTTGTCCAGTCCGATTTTAAAAACCTTGATTTGTATAATTAGATGCTTTATATCCTCATCCCTCGAGCTGCTTCTACACCTTTAAAGATTGCCCTTCATTTTGCATCTGTATTGCTACTAGCTTTGCTAAGTTTTCCTCGGGTTGCCACAATTTGATCATTTCTTGCTAAAATGACATATCCTATGGCAACCAAGTATGATTTTAGATCAAAAGATCCATCTAACATACACCAAACGTTGAAGCATTGGAACATAAATATAATGCCATGTGAAACTATTGTTTCTTCAAGCAATTCATGATTATTATTGGAACATAACTATTGAAGGAAAGATATCAACTGATAGTTGTCATTAGCTAATTATTCTATAATTATCTGTCAAGAGGAATTATAGGAGTTGATAGTGTAAATCAATTAGTTAGCTTCCTAGAATACGTATCTATGACCTGTATATAAATAGTCATGTAATCTCATTGTGAATGATATACAAAAACATCTTCCTCATTTGCTTCTCTATTATTTCATATGGTATCAGAGCATTGTTCCTGGTGACTCTTCACACATTTTCTTCAATTCCAATAATCATGGCCAAGTCTTCATTCACAACAAATACCATTGATCCTTTAGATCCCCTAACTCTTCATCATTCGGATCATCCAGGACTTGTCTTGGTTTTCAAACCCTTGGAAGGATACAATTATGGGCAATGGAATCGAGCCTTGCGTCATTAGTTTGAGCGCCAAGAACAAACTTGGCTTCGTAACAGGTGCTGTTAAAGTGCCCAAACCCACAAATCCGAAGTTTCCCACTTGGCAGCGATGCAACGACATGGTGTTGTCTTGGCTGTTAAACTCGGCTCATCCAGACATTGCAGGGAGTGTTATCTATGCCGACACAGCAACAGAAGTTTGGGACGATCTCCATGAACGATTCTCCCAGGGTAATGACTCTCGCATCTACCAAATTCGACAAGAAATTGCAGAACTTAGGCAAGACCAACAATCTGTTTCTATTTATTACACAAAACTCAAAGCCTTATGGGATGAATTATCATCATATCAGACCCCTCCTTCTTGTACTTGTGGTGGGATGAAACAGTTAGTTGACAGAGAAGAAAATGACCGTGTCATGCAATTTCTCATGGGCTTAAATGAGTCATATGCAACTGTTCGGGGATCTATTTTGATGATGAGTCCTCTTCCAGATACTCGCAAGGTTCATGCACTAGTTCTACAACATGAAAGACAAACTGAGGCAACAGCACATCGTGACATAAATCCAGGTCATCATGCCATGCAAATCACTCAAGATACAACAAAACAACAAGGCTCTACTTATGGGAGAAGTCCTTCAAAGAAAAATCTAAAGTGTAGTTATTGTGACCGTCAAGGCCATGGAGTTGAGGATTGCTTCTACATCAAGGGTTTTCCTGTAGGTCACAAGTTTCATGGCAAAAACATGAAACCAAGGAAGTCTATGGCCCACAACATTCAGGCCAATACACCAGCTTCACCAACTTCACATCCCAACTCTAAAACAGCAACCTTCACCAATGAAGAATACAAACAACTCATGTATTTACTACAAAAAGATAATGGTAACATCCAACCCGTTGTGAATGCTACAGGTATTCCTGATACTACTTCTCACTCTAATTCTTCAACAAATTTGTATTGGATAGTTGATAGTGGTGCCACACACCACATATCTCATAAACCTACCACTTCTGCTCATATATTACCTAATCATGATCTTGTGATCTTACCTAATGGAGATAAAACAACTATTCACTCAATTGGTTCCATGCAATTAACCCCTAATTTAACCATTGATGGTGTCTTACATGTTCCCAATTTCAAAGTCAATTTGATTTCGGTCAGTAAACTCACCCATGCCTTAAAATGCCTTGTCACCTTCTCTCATGATTTTTGTATTGTATAAGACGTGCTTACGAAGAGGATGATTGGCCTGGGCAAGCAACATAATGGATTGTATTATCTCAAACCCAAGCAGAATGTCCACCTAGCCAATTCCATCAGATGTTTCTCCTCTCTTTGGCATCAATGCTTGTGGCACCCATCCTCTGCACCTCTTCAAGCATTGTCCAAATCTATCCCATAAATTATTTATGATACCAGTAATGTTTGTGATATTTGTCCGTGTGCTAAACACACTCGTCTACCTTTTCCAATTAGTTCAATTTCTTCTAGTGCATGTTTTGATTTAATTCACTGTGACATTTGGGGACCTCGCCATTTTAAAACCCATTCAGAAGCTCGTTATTTTTTTACAATTGTAGACGATTATTCTTGTTTCACATGGATTTATTTGATGAAATTCAAATCTGAAACGCAGCCTCTATTAAAATATTTCTTCTCATGGGTAAAGACACAATTTCATACTTCTATTCAGACTTTTTGTGCTGACAACAGTACTGGATTCATTTCTATGCAATATTTCTTTAATGAAAATGGCACTCACTTTCAATGTTCCTGTACTTACATGCCCCAACAAAATGGGGTAGTGGAACGCAAACATCGCCATCTTTTAAATACTGCCCGTGCCCTTCATTTTCAAGCCAATTTACCACCTCAATTTTGGGGCGAAAGTGTCCAAACCGCTTGCTATCTCATCAATCGTCTTCCCACACCCTTACTTCATCACAAAACACCTTTTGAAAGACTTCATCATCAGCCTCCATCATACACTCACCTTCGTACTTTTGTGTGCTTGTGCTATGCCACAAATCTTAAGCCCAAACACAAATTTGACACCCGAGCTCATCGGTGCATGTTCATGGGTTACCCACTTGGTCAAAAAGGCTATCGCCTATATGATCTTGAGACACAACAGTTTTTTACTTCTCGAGATGTCACATTCCATGAACACCTATTTCCCTTTACTAATTCCGCACCCATTACTAACCGAAACCAACTCACTTTTTCAACACCACTCAATGATCTCTACCACCTATCATGACAACCCACTACTCTCCCAAATCCCAAACACTCCAATCACAACCACTGCACCCACCACCTCACCTATGGAACATGAACAATTAGCACCCATAACATCTCCTGAACAACCAGCACCCACTCCATCTACCACTTTACCCATAGAACACGAACCACATGCAGCTTCTACCCCATCACCTGATTCCTCTCTCAACCCAGTTGCCCCACGACATTCCACTCGCCCAATAAAACTTCCAACTCGCCTTCAAGACTACCACATCAACAATTCTATGCTGCTTTCCCATGGTACAATCAACTCTTCCACATGTAGTACAAAACATCCACTCTCCAAGTATGTCAATTACTCTAATTTTTCAGTTGATCACCGCCACTTTATTTCTTCTATTTCCTTGTTAGCCGAACCACTTACGTATGAACAAGCAAGTCAGGATCCTAAATGGGTTGAAGCTATGCAAACCAAACTTCAAGCACTTACGTATGAGCATACATGGACTATGGTCCCTTTACCTCATGGTCATCATCCAATCGACTGCAAATGGATTTATAAAATTAAGTATCATGCCGATGGAACTTGTTGAACGGTACAAGGCCTGCCTTGTAGCTCGAGGCTTCACACAACGTGAAGGAATTGATTACAAGGAGACATTTGCTCTTGTTGCTAAGCTCATTACAGTGCGTTGCCTTCTCACTGTGGCAACAGTCTGAAATTGGAATCTTCATCAAATGGATGTTCAAAATGCCTTTCTCCATGGCGACCTTACTGAAGAGGTATACATGCAACCTCCACCGGGGCTCTGTCGACAGGGGGAGCATATGGTATGTCGACTAAACAAATCCCTATACGGCCTAAAGCAAGCCTCAAGAAGCTGGTTCCATAAATTTTTATCTGCAGTTCAGAGTGTTGGTTTTAAATAGTCAAGGGAAGATTACTCTTTATTCACCAAGGTACGAGGTACTTCTTTTACTGCCATATTATTGTATGTCGACGATATGATCATTATAGGAAATAATGAAGCTGAAATCAGTGATTTCAAGAAATTCCTCAACACATGCTTTAAAATCAAAGACATTGGGCCATTGAAATACTTCCTAGGGGTAGAAGTGGCTCATTCTAAAGCTGGGATTTCCATTTTCCAGCGAAAATACACTTTGGATATTCTTGAAACATCTGGTTTACTTGGTGCAAAATCGGCCAATTTTCCAATGGAGCAGAACTTGAAATTAACTTCCACAGATGGTGAAATACTTAAGGATCCAACTCACTATCGCAAGTTGGTCGGGAAACTAATCTACCTCACTATCACACGGCCAGACATCACTTACTCGGTATCCGCTCTCAGTCAGTTTATGCAACAACCATGGAAACCTCACCTTGATGCAGTATACCGAGTTATTCGATATTTAAAGAAATCTCTAGATCAGGGAAAGTTTTTCCCATCAATTAATGAGTTGAAATTGGTTGGATATTGTGATGTTGATTGGGCCGGTTGTCCCACCACAAGACGGTCTATCACAGGGTATTGCGTCTTCCTTGGAAAATCATTAATTTCATGGAAAAGCAAGAAACAAACAATGGTGTCTAGATCTTCAGCAGAGGCAGAATACCGATCAATGGCAGCAGTAACATGTGAGCTCACTTGGTTGCGATATTTGATGCATGAATTATGTGTGCCACACCAACAACCAGCCACGTTATTTTGTGACAACCAAGCAGCCATATACATTGCAGCAAACCYGGTTTATMATGAAAGAACCAAGYATATCRAATTAGATTGTCACACGGTACGCRAACGAATTCAAAGAGGGGAGCTTAAAACTGCRTTCRTYCARACTCAACGRCAAATAGCTGATATATTCACCAAGCCTTTAGGCCAAGTAACCTTCCAATCACATGTCGACAAGTTGGGCATTTTGGATCTTCATGCTCCAACTTGAGGGGGAGTATTGAAGAAAAGATATCAACTGATAGTTGTCATTAGCTAATTATTCTGTAATTATCTGTCAAGAGGAATTATAGGAGTTGATAGTGTAAATCAATTAGTTAGTTTCCTAGAATACTTATCTATGACCTGTATATAAATAGTCATGTAATCTCATTGTGAATGATATACAAAAACATCTTCCTCATTTGCTTCTCTATTATTTCATAATGCTACACACATTCAACATTGTGTTTTGCGACACCTCGATTAGTTGAAAAATCTCCACATTTTCCATATATGATGGGGTTTCATTCCTATTGTCCAATACCCATCATGTTGACCTTGCAAATGCACATAAAAATAAAACATGATCTAATGTTTCAATCTCTTGCTTGTAAAAAATACAAGATTTCTTTCTAAAATAGAAATTTTAGTTTTTCCATGGTTAAAACCCCTTCCCATAACACTTTCTAGAGAAATAAGTTGGAAAGGAAATGGAACTTTTGATTTCCATATTTTTCTCCACCCTACTTTACGCATTGATGTGGATGCATGCATGTCTCTGCAATAAAGCTTGATAAGTGGATTTGATAATGTTTTTCCCATAATATTTGATCGATGTCTTTGATGGCTTCCCCAATGGCATAATTTGTAAGATATGAGAGAGTTTTTGAGTTATGTTACTACTTTTAACCTTTCTACATCCCACTCTTGGTTCTCCTTAACAAAATATTTCACTTTCCTACTATTATTCCATTCTTCTTGTCTATCCCTTCTATCCAAAGTGTAGGTATTCAAGGGTCCCCAAACCAATGAATTTTCTCTCCCCATCTCCAACATGCTAGCACAAATATTGTTTCATTTCTACACTTAATTGTTACACTTATTTCCACCGATTAGAATTAGAAATTTTTTTTTGACACTTGAACAAAGATCCTTTCCTCATATATTTAGATTTCACCACTTGAGTCCATAATGCTTCATGTTCTTCTGATAATCTAAATCTACTTTTCAAACAAGGCCTTGTTCATTTCATTACCATTTGAAAGCCTAATCCTCCATTAAAATTTTAGTTCTATAGCAATGTCTCACCTTATTGTATGAATCTTTCTATTATTATTCTTACCACCCACACCATAAATCTTGTTGTATCTTCTCCTAACATTTTTTTTTTGGAAAAAGTGTTACTCCACGGTAAAAGCTAGAATTTCTTGTCCCATTGAAACATTTTCTTATGTCTTTCACTACCCGAAACCCCAATAGGGGTTGTTACTCTTTTATAACATTACATCAACAATTCTTTTCTTACAGAGATGATAATAGTAGGATTTGAAACCACACCACCATTGGGATACCCCTCAGTTAGTTTTCCTATGTTTTCTATGAATATTAGTATTAAAAAACATTCATGATTTTTGCAAATTCATATTTTTACCCATTATTTCTTCAAAATTCTCTAATACTTCTTTAGTCATTGTCAATTGTTTGACATCAACCTTACAAAACAACACACAATCATTAGCAATAAAATGTGAGACTGCCACTTGTCTTAAACTTGCTTCACCATTGTCAATTGTCAATTGTTTGACATCCGTCATGCTTAAAAAGACAAGCATATAATAAATAAGTATGGTGACAATGGGTCAGCTTGTCTAAGTAAGATGATTCTCTTAGGGAACCATTCAGCTTAATTGCAAATTGTGATGTGTTAATATAGTCTTTCACCATTTGACACCACCTTTCCAAGAAATCCATATTCTTCATCACTCTTTCCACAAATTCCCTCTCCATTCTATCATATGCACTTGACATGTCTATTTTAATTATTGCAACCCATCTCTTCCCTATTTTCTTCTTTTTCATGTGATGTATTGCTACCAAAATTTGCAACAAAGATGAGATAAGGAATTTGTTAGATACCTTGGCTAAGAGGGTGTCACCTCGTCTAAATCCTACCTAGTTTGGGGATATGATTTTGGGCAATATTTTTGTAATTTATTCACCATACATTTTGCAATTATCTATATAAAACATCGTATGAACTTATTGGTCTAAATTGATTAACCAATTAAGGTTCTTACATTTTGGAATATAGATCAAGTTTGTACTATTAGGTCGTTTATCAAAAGCTACTGTTGAAAAAAAATCTTGGAACACAACACACACCTTGCCTCTAACTAGTTTACTTCAGATTTCTAGGTCCATATGACTTATTCTCTTTATAGGGTAGTATTCAAGTCAATCTCAAGATCCTATACTCTTCTATTGTCATAATTGGATCATTGTTTTACTTTTTGCCTTTTTCTATGGCAAACTTCACCTTCACTCTTTCAAGCTCAACTTGCACCTTCCCAAACTCCTCTCTATTCCATTTACTAAGAGATTGGATCAAATTGCTACACTATTTCTTACCACCTCTTTACATTTCTCATAAATCATCCACATTTCTTCAAATCTAAATGGTGTCCTTCTCTTCTTGCCTATTAGCCATAAGTCCAAACAAGTGTATATGTGCTTTGAGCCATGCATGTCAATAGAAAAAAACTTTAGCATTTGGGAAAATTTCATGCCATTCCAAACTAGAGCCATGCATCTCTAGTTTAACTTTGATTTTTTCCTCCACATCTTCTCTATTTGACCATGTAAATCGAGCACAAAAAGGAATATCCAAGAGCTTTCAAAGCCTTCACAAACCTCTAGTTTTTCTAATATAACTCCATCTATACCTCCTTTCCCCTACTTTATGCATCTCTGGGCACGAACACCAAAGATGCATAAAGAAGTTTGAAGATGAAGAAAATGCTTTGAAGAATGGAAAACCATTTCAGTTCGAACTAGCAATTGAGCCTGGCCCTAGAGCTTATGGACCTTGGCTTTTTACTCCTTTATCCCTCTCCTCACCTAGAAAATAACCCCCAATAACCTTAAGTTGTGGCAGATAACCAGCAGACTTGCTCACGGACTAGGCTTCGAGCCTGACTTACCCTATGCCAGGCTCAGGCTTCGGGCTGGGCCCCACTCAAATTTTAGAAAAAGCTAAGCTCAAGACTAGCCCATGAACAAGTCAAATAGTCAAGATGGGGAAGAAACACCCCCCCCGCCAAATTTCCAAGGAAGTGGTATCTAGCCATCCAATAGATGGAGAAGGAATAGTTGGCCATCACATATGGAAATCTCACCAGCGAGAAAACTCGAGTACTACCGGGGACGACCAAGGTTGGAACGACAACCTAGAAGTGGGCCTCTTGAGGAAGGATACGTTGACAGAGCATGCCAACAGTGATCAGAGTTGAAGCCAAAATCATTGCTTCCAACATTACCATTTCAAGAGGTTACGACCATGAAAAAGGGAAAGAAGTTTAGGAATTATCAGCTATAGGGCATGTTGGAAATCACCTGAACTAGATCCCTGGCACTTGTGACCTACAAGATGGATCTCGAGTTCAGATGGGGTCAAACTCAGGCAAATCAGAGATGTTGTAATATGTAGCGGCTGTGGCCTAGTAGGGGCATTTTTGCCCTTTCCTCTTGTAATTTTTATGAGCTATCGCCCTAAGTATATATACCAACTTAGGTGCCGCCAACTTTAGATCTGAATACACAACATCTTTTTCTCTCTTCTCTATCAAAATACATGGTATCAGTGCATCTCTAATCTGGGCACAAGTTCTATCTTCTTCTCATAATCATGATTTCTTCTTCTAGATGCAACCTTCAGCCCTAATTTTATTTTTCTCTTCTCTCTTGGTTGTTGTACCAAGGAGAAGGGTGTGGTGGCAGCCGGATGTAGCAAAAGATATCTCTAGATCTATGGTGGTAACCGAATGCAGTAAGGTGATTTTCTGGGTTTGTGGTGGCAATCAAATGCAACAAAACTTAATTTTCTAAGGAGTTTTTCTATGTACTGTGGGTCATGGAAGACAGGTATGCACTGTTACATTCACACGTAAGCTTTTGACCACTGTGAATGTCATAGTTTTGAGGATTGTAGGGACTGGTTGCCTCTTCCTCCTGGAAACCAAAGTGTTTCATCAAAAAGGTATCACCTACAATATTATTAAACTTTGTTTTTGGAGACTACTATTTTTTTAGACAAAAACCCTCTATATCAGATTCGGTTTTTTGAAAAAACAGCAGTGGATTTTCTGTGAAAATGGCTACTGAGGATTCAACAACCTCTAGTATTACTTCCCAGCAAGGAAACATAAATGGGGGGATGGATGACATGAATTTTTCCATGTCCATTACTCCATTTTATGGTCTGAACTATCTGGAATGGTCCAAAGGCATCAAACTTTATGTTACAGCTAGGGGGAAGGTTGTTTATATAAGTGGAAAAATAAAAGAACCAAAGTTCGGTACTACTAAACATGATCGATGGGATCAAGAAAATAGCATGGTTATGTCATGGCTGTTAGGCTCCATGTTACCTCATGTAAGGAAAATTTTCATATGGGCTGACACAACCTATGAAATTTGGGAACAAGCCAAGGCAACCTATTCTGAATAGAGGCACTTTGCCAAGATTTATCAATTTCAAGCAAATCTGCATGTAGACAAGGGGACCATAGCCTATCTACATACTACTTAACCCTTACATTTGTCTGTAAGGAGCTGGACTATTATCAGACTATTGATTGGAGGAATGATGAAGATGCACAGGACTATAAAAAACTTGTCTCCCAATAGTGGGTTTTTGCTTTCTTGCATGGGCTGAATATGGCTTATGAGCCTCTCCGGGTGCAGATTTTGGGAAGTAGGAAACTTCCTTCAATTTAGGAAGTATATGCTTTAATCCAATCTAAAGAGAGTAGGAAAAATCTCATGAATGTTTCTTAGGGGAAGCAACTTGTTGCCCTAGCTACAAGAAGGGTAACATAGGAATGAAAAAGGGGGAACCAAGGAAAGGTGAAGATAAAGACAAATTGTAGTGTACCCATTGCCAGAAGCCTAGACACACCCGAGAAACTTGTTGGGAGTTAGTGGGGAAGCCCAAGTGGGCAACCGATAATC